TTGCACTTGTCCTTGTTGAACCTCATGAGATTCCTTTGGGCTCAATCCTCTGGTTTGTCTCTGTCCCTGTAAACCCCAGCCCTGCCCTCCAGTGTATCCACTATTCCCCCAGCTTGGTGTCATCTGCAGACTCATTTTTCTCGCCTCCGCACGGCGCCGGAGCCCCCGGGACGCTCCGCGCACGGCAGGCAGCCCCGGCGGCCCCTGGGACGGGAGCGCCGAGCGCGGCCGGGTCTCGACGCGCCTCACCTCGAGGTCCTTCCTAATGCTCTCGAACTCCTCGATGTCGTCCAGCTTCAGCTCCAGGCGCGTCGGCTTCCGCCGCAGCATCACGAGCGAGCACCGCCGGCCCCGCGGCCCCTACGCCCGCGAGCGAGCGCACCTCGCCCGGGAACCGGACACCCCGGCCCGGCCGCTGTCGCAGACCCGCCCACTTCCGCCCGGCTCTTCCTGGCCCGGCCCGCAGCCGCAGATCCCCCAACTTCCGCCCGGCACCTTCCGGCATGCCTCGCGCGGCGACCCGGAACCAGTTGGGTGAAGATAGTCCTGTGGTGTAGAGTGTCTGTGCAGTGGCCGGTGTTGCCGTCTCCGTCTCCATGGCGTCCGCGCGGGGCCCTGCGGTGCGGGTGAAGCGGGGCTCGGGACGGCGTTGGGGCCGGGTCGGGCTGTGCGGGGTCTCTCGTTGCGGACACCGGGCCCAGAGCGAGGGGTTGGAGTTAGCGCTTCTCCTTGTCCCTGATTGTGACGGCACGGGCCCACCCCGTGAAATCCGCTTCTCGCCCGGGTCCGGCTCCCCAAGGTCCTGGGCAGGGACCGCTGAGGCCGAACTCCCGGCTCCCCTGGGGGGACTCGTGGCAAACACAGCTCTTAGTTTTCACCTTTTTTTTGTTTGACTGTGGGAGGAGGACAGAGCTGGTTTTTCACGTTGCAGAGTACTTGGACCCAAGCGATGGGCTCCTGTTTGAAATCTCTGGGTTTGTCTTGTGAGGCCTGTTTGCCCACCGCACTGCGTTGATATGTGGCATCCTTGAAGGGATCTGAATCCCCCCTGGCAGGGCCATGGTCCCTGGTTAAGAATCACTGCAGCAGAGGGGTGTATGGGAGCGCTGTGTAACACTTGTGGTTGTGAGCACGTTGATCAGTTGTATCCCTGCAGCAGGCTTTTAAGATCTAGGTAGACAAAGGCTTGGCTGGGATGATCCAGTTGAGGGGGGTCCTGCATCATGCAGGGGGCTGGACTGGATAAAATCAGAAAATGAGGGTTGATGGGACCTCAGGAGGTCACATGTAGCCCAGTCCTCTGTTCAAAGCAGGACCATCCCCAACTCTACCATCACAGCCAAGGCTTTGTCTACCTGGGTCTTAAAAACCTCTAAGGATGGGGAGTCCACAACGTCTCTGAGTAACCTGAGGCCTGTTGCAACCCTCATTTTGTATGACTCTAGACTTAAAGCTGAAACATCCCATTATAAAGCTGGGATCATACCCTGGCAGCATTGCAGTTGCTGGGAAATGTGCTAGTAACTTACAACAGGGTTGGATTTTTGTGCCTTTATTTTTGACTTGCTGCCCAACCTTGCGTTTACTCTCTAAAAGTTGAAGGGATATGTGCTGTTAAGCACAAATTGATATGAGTGCATCAGAAAGGAAGTCTGGGATATTTTTTTACACATTGTAAAGAGGCATAAAGGATTACAAAAAAATCCCTACCTGGTTTTCTTAAGCATACTTTTTGTAGAGGAATCACTTCCCTGTTCAGAGCTAATGTTCTAGGTATAATTTCAGGGTTTCTGGTTTGGGTAGACCTAACTTTCTCTTGCAGAAAAATGATTTGTGCAGCCAAAGCAGTTTGCTGAATTGCTGCTCCCAAGCCAGATACATACTGAACCAGTCTGTTAAAATCTTGCTTTTATTTTGCAGGCTACAAAAACCAAGATCTCAGATGACAGTGATGCTCCCCCAGTTAAGAGACCTCATATCTTCTATGGCAGTTTGGAGGAGAAGGAAAGGGAGCGTATTGCCAAAGGGGAGCTGGGGCTGCTAGGAAAAGATGGGATGAAAGCTGCAATCCAGGCCGGCAACATTAACATTAGCAGTGGTAAGAATGCACTCTGTATAGTGCTTTCAACTTCTTTTCTTGCTTCTGGCTTTGAGATATTTAAAAAGACATTTTTGTTTGGGTTCAACTCAGGGCTTTAGGACAGAAATTTGGGCTGCAGAGACTACAAGCTATCCAGTATTCCGTCATGATTTGAATGGGGGTGGGAAGTCTAGGGAGAGAAGGTAACCATTGCCAGCATTGACTGTCCCAACCCTGAATGGGCTAAAATATTTATAGCTTTTAATGGTTAGAGTTGTCTAAATCTCTGGTGCAGTTGTCATTGCTTCAGTTTGATGGCTTTGTTTCTGGCATAGGTGAGGTCTTCGATCTTGAAGACCATATGAGTGAGCGCCAGGCAGAAGTGTTGGCTGAATTTGAGCGCAGGAAACGTGCTAGGCAAATCAATGTTTCCACTGATGACTCTGAAGTCAAGGCCTGCTTACGAGCTCTTGGGGAGCCCATCACACTCTTTGGAGAAGGGCCTGCAGAAAGAAGAGAAAGGTACTGTGTCTTGTCCTTTGTGTGGCCTGTCCTGTAACCAAATCATAAATCTCTTGTAAAACTCCTTGAGCTCTTGAGTGCACTGAGTGGTGTTACCCACTGTTCCTTCTCAGTGATATAACAACAACTGTAAAGAGTGAATGAAGAAGAAATTGATCATCTGTCACACATGGTCAAGAAATGTCTGAGAAGTTATTGAATTAATCTGATTTAATGCTTGGTGTGTTTCATTGCAGATTGAGAAATATCCTCTCGGTGGTTGGCACTGATGCCTTAAAAAAAACAAAGAAAGATGACGACAAGTCTAAGAAAGCCAAAGAAGAGGTAAACATCTCTCCCATTCTTGGATTCTGCAGGTTATTAATTTAGAGAGAAGGGGACCATTTTATAGAAACCTTCAAATTCCTTCATTGACCAACTGTAACATTTCCAGAGCTCTGACACTGATTTTTTTGTATCATTAGACAGCCTGATAGCATGAGGTGGACTTATCAGTATAGGACTTATGCGTAGGACAGTGACATCCTAAGGCAGGGGTGGGCAAAATGGCGGATCTGGCTAGCAGTCAGACTTCTTTTCCCAGCAGCCTCTGTCTGTGTCGCTACAGCCGTTTTCCATGGAGACCTCAGAAGTGGTGGCACTGTGACAGTGCGGGGCCAGGGTTTCTGTGGAGACTGGCCCCAGCAGTGCTGGCAGGGTGTGTGGCAGGGCAGAGAGCTGCTCTGCAGCCAGGGCTGGGATCTTGCAGTGATGACAGTGTGGTCTGGAGTTGGAGCAGAGCCACAATCCACTGCATGTATGCCCCTGCCTGGGGCTTGCAGGCAATGTTCCCTCTAAGGAGCAGCAGTCCATGAGCGCGCCGCCTGGGTCCAGCATGGGACACTTACCAAAGGGGGCTGGGGCCAGAGGCTGGAGCTGGAAGCCAGGGTCTGGGATCAGGGCCAGGGGCTGGGGGCCGGGGACTGGGGCCAGTGGCTGGAGGCTGGGGGCTGGTGGCTGGAGCCAGGGGCTGGGGCTGGGGCTGGAGCTGGAGGCTGGGGTCGGGGACCAGGGGCTGGAGCCGGAGCCTGGTGCAAGCTCTCTGGCTCTGGGGAAGTGCTCCACTCCCCTGCATCAGGGCCGGGGAGTGGAGCACTTCCCAGGAGCTGGTGGAGCCCACGCCAGCCCTCCACCCCGGCCTCCATCGCTGCCTTACCTCACCTCGGGGAGGAGCTGCTGCCTGCCCTGAGTGAGGTTCTGCTGGGTCCAGAACACTGCTCCTCTCCCCGGCCCTGACGCCACATGCCTCCTTGCTCCCTGAGGCGATGCAGGGGAGCAGAGCAGTGTCCCAGAGCTGGCAGACCCTCACTTAGGGCAGGCAGCGGCTCCCCCCTGAGGTGAAGCAAGGCAGCGATGGAGGCTGGCGCGGGCTCCGTCAGCTCCGGGGAAGTGCTCCACTCCACGGCTCCACGGGGGGAGCGGAGCACTTCCCCTGGAGCTGGCGGAGCCCATGCCAGGCTCCCGCCCCAGCCTCTCCTGGTGCGCAGCCTTGAAAAGGCTGTGCGCAGCCACACTTTTGGTTGTGCGCACCTTAGAGGGAACCTTGCTTGCAGGTAGTGGATCACAGCTCTGCCTCTGCTTTGGACCATGCTGTCACTGCCGCAAAATCCCAGCCCCAAAACAGCTTCCCACCACTGCACCGTGGACCCTGCCAGCCCTAGTAGAGCCAGTCTGCATGGAAACTCTGGTGCTGCATTGTCACAGTGTCCCTGCTGCTGGGGTCTCCATGGAAACTGGCCACAGCAATGCAAGCAGGGGTTCCTGAGAGATGGAGTCTGCTGCAGGCTGGACTTTGTCTGCTCTTGTCCTAAGGTGTTCTTGAATTTGTTTGGTTTGTTTTCTTTTTTTTAGTATCAGCAAACCTGGTACCATGAAGGACCAAGCAGTTTGAAAACAGCTAGATTGTGGATCGCCAACTACTCACTCCCCAGGTAAAGAAAGGGGCTGTAAAGCAAGCAAAGTAAAAGGAGGTGCAAGCTTTTCTGAAAAGCAATGAACTCATTAGATGATGGGCAGTGCAGGTGTTTGAGGTTCAGGATAAGAGGCAACACTGGACACGCAACAAGGGCTGGAGCTGAGTGTAACTGAACTTGGAGGTTGTGCACTTAGTTTGAGTCTTGCCACAGAGTTTTGCTAGCAGAACTCCAGCTCACACTCAATACCTCTCTGCAGTGGCAGAACCTTTCTGTGTTGGCAGAATCATTTCACCTCTGCCAATTGGATTAAGGCTTTTGCTGACACCCAGTGGCCAGCTGAAGGGGTTACAGATGCCACTGTGCTTTTTAGCTGCAATTCAGTCAGCAGCTAGTGTCCTTCCACTGGACACTTTGTGCTCCAGCAGCCTAGGTGTAGAGCAGATCTGCACAGAGCTACCAGTAGCAGATTGGTCTGCACATGCTCTGATGGTTTAGCACTAGCAGCAGAGATGAAGGAGTGTAGATATAGCCTGAGTAAGTAGTGGTTGTAAGAGTCCAGCTCTGGGACAGGAAGAAAGGTAAAGGATCTGTTTCCTGCCCTAGGGCAGGGAAGTGCAGGGATTCATCATTATAATTTTGTTTCTGCCACAGGGCAGTGAAGCGGTTGGAAGAAGCCCGACTGCTCAAAGAAATTCCCGAGGCTACCAGGACATCCCAGAGGCAAGAACTGCACAAGTCCCTAAGGGTAGGTGTGGTTTCATTTCAGCTACTCTTTGGCGTCAGCAAGAGGTTAAGAGAACAGAATGCAGAGGTCTAGACTAATCTCCCAGTACACATTATTCTTTCTGCCGTGCATGTTATGCTTTTGCTGTGTTCTGCCTGTCCTCCCTTTTTTATCACCAGGCTGGTCAGTGGTTTGAGAGCAGGACTTGGGTTTAAATACTCTGCCTGCAGGACAAAGAACTGCAGAGACAGTTGCACACAGCTGCATCTATTTCATTTGATGATAAAGAAATCCTCTCACCCTATGGATTTGTCATGTTCTCATTCACTGAGGCAGAGTGATAGTGTCCATTTTTTTTCTCTCACTCGCTGCCTTGACAGCTGGAAGCCTTAAACCAGTGGAATTAAGATAACCAACACAGCCACAAAATGAATGCTTCAGCTGTGACTTGAGAGGCCCCTTTCTCTGTTGTTAAGGTAGATCAGGCAGCTAATTCAGAGCTTGGCTGAACAGATGTAATGCATTGTGCCCTAGGACTAACTGTCTTGGGCACAACACCTTTAGAAGGGAGACAGCTCTTGGAAGTGTTGGCTCTATCCAGAGAACATCCTGTCACTCTCGCAAGAAAGTTCAACTCTAATTGTACCGTTCACAGTGGTATAAAGGCAAAGAGAGGCCCAGACCACTTGGGGCTTTCTGGATCAGAACCAGCGTGCTGATGTGTACCTGCAAGCCTCTCAATAGCCAGTGTGAGGCTCACTGCTAGCTTAGCACTCTCAGGTCTGCCGCACAGTTGGTCTTGCTCTAGAGTAACAGTTCTCTCTGGTAAGTGACTTTCTGAAGGCCTCAATTTTTCCTGTGTAGATTTGTCTCCTTATCTGCCTCCCAGAAGTAGGGTTTCTCTTACTGCCTCATGCTTTAGTCATTGATCCTGGCTTTTGTGTTTGGTTTCAGTCATTGAATAATTTCTGCAGTCAGATTGGAGATGATCGCCCCATCTCTTACTGCCATTTCAGTCCCAATTCCAAACTCCTGGCTACTGCTTGTTGGTAAGTTTCCTTTTACAACATTTACTATGGGGACAAAGCAGGGAGGAGAATGTGAGTGGTCCTATGACAGGGTGGGCAAAATCAGACCCGTGGACTGAATCCAGCCTGCCAGATGTTTGTATCTGGCCCACAACTACCGCTACAACATTCCACATGGGTCTGAGATCTGCCCAAGGCAGTCCTTACCAGGCATCTGCCCTGTGCCTGCTGACAGCACTAACCTAGCCCCAGCTAGTGCCCATAGCTTCCCAGTGGCGCTGTTCCCACTGCTGCTGCAGGTGCCTGGGTACTGCTCATCTCCCCTCACCTCAAGCAGCATCTCCTCGTGCCCCTGCTGTGCTGTTCTGGGAAGCAGGTAGTGTGGGGAAGCAGCAGTAGCCATGGGGTCATGTATTGGGTACTACATGCTGAACCAGTTTCCGGGGTAGCTGCAGCTGGGTAGCTCCTGCCCCAGCCTATGGGGCTCCATCTCCCAGCTGGCTTCCATCCACTTGGTCACCCAGTATGATGAGAAAACCACTCACAGGTGGCCGAGTGGATGGAAGGCAGCCCTGCTGGCAAGCTGTGCACACTAGTTGGGGCGGTACTGTTGGTGAATGCAGGAAGAAGTGCAGTGCGGGCTGCCCTGGGCAGGAGCAGGCAGGGCTCAGCCCCAAGCGCAGTACTGTGGGAACAGCTGTAGACCAAATGGGAGGTGGGGAGTGTGGACTGCACCTGCACTACCTAGGTAAACTCTGCTGCATGCGCCCCCTGCCCCCTCCCCTATCCCCAGCCAGCTCCTGGGACCTAGAGTGTGGGCAGCTTCCCCCCACATGCACACCCCCACACACAGTATACAAGAGTGGAATTATTTTGAGTTATTATTCAATTGCCTGTACATAAACTATTACAAAAAAGGGACAACTAATATATTTTTAAATTAAATTAAATATGCTATAGTAGATGTTTGAATTTTAGTATATGATTTAATTTTTTATATGTAATTTGTTAAAATGATATCTTCTGAAAGATTTTGTGTGTGGCCCTCAACAACTCACCAGAACTTGTTAAGTGGTCCTTCAGCCAAAATAATTGTCCACCCCTGTCCTATCAGATTTGGCTCTCAATAATGTTTAGTCTTGCTATTCTAAATCTTGCCTCCATCTCATCATAGTTTCTAGCAAAAGTCTGGGTCTGTGGATCCATCTGTTCCCTACAGCAAAATCAGA